TTTATTTCAACACACCGCTTTCATGAAATCCCGAATAGGACCCTCCCCCATCCTACTAAAGATTACAAATACGGCCGTGCTCGTTAGGAGAGACGCCAGTGGACGGTTGACTCGGTCAGGAAAGCCTAGAATTGGTGGTTAAGCCCTACTCGGATACATTGCATGTTTACAGAAGATCGGAAGATTTTAATTCGAATAAACTTTTTAATTCGACTTTGATGGCAAGATTCCATTGAAAATCAATCTCCACTGAAGGGCCTGAACTCGGTTTGGAGCTCTGAAAGCTGTGCCATCAAACTTTAAAAAAATCCAAACTATCAGTTCACTGATCTTCAGATCGTCGCTCTGTTCGCCGCGTTCTGGGCCTCACTACACACGATTGGTCACTGCGTAAACTTCTACCACGTGGCCACTCAGAGTCAAGAAGGACTCCATTGCCTATTCCAAGAGGCGGTCTTCGGGTTCGTGGCTATCTCACCGCCAACACTTTAAGCATTTCAAACTTTGCTCTGATTTCAGGTCTAATTTCCTTCCATCAATCAGCTATTGGTTCTACGGAACGATCACCGGTCTGACTGGGATACTGCTTGTCGCTGTGATGTCAATCATCTACGTGTTTGCCCTTCCGTGCTTCATGAAGAGGGCATATCATGCATTCCGGTTGGTCCTCAGTCTCTAGCGTTGTAAACATAGGGTAAAATTTGATGTTTTTGTGCCGTAGAGGTACCTAGGGGGAGGGGAAACCCATTCACGGCCGACGTTTTTATCAGCTCTTCATCTTCAAAGTCCCATTTTACCGCCGAAGGAGCGAAACAGCGCCGCACTGTGTCAATAAGTCTGTCTACACAGGGAAGACCTTTTCCCATGTCGAGCTTCAGCGATTTTTTCGTCACAATTATTTCCATAGTTGGCAAACTTTTCTGAAGCCGTCCACGAAGGAGGCCACCACGAAAAGGTTTTTGTTAATAAAATAGAATATGCTCTTCAATTTCGACTTGAGAGTCTTCGGTTTGAATTGTGATTAGATCCATTAAAAAGAGGAGACAAAATGTCTTTTTTCATCGCTCCCCCCCCCCCCCCCACCCCACCTCTATACTATCCACAGCTTAGCTGTTAGCTGCACTTTCAAGAAAACAATCTAGTCAAAACGTCTTCTTGTGATTAGGCCCTTCACCTGAAAACCTCTACTGCACAGAAACACTTCAGAGTGACATCAGCGTCAGATTTGTGTGAAAAGAGAAGTGGGGTTCACTGCAGACCAAATATTTTCAAATTTAGCCTGACCCATCTGCTCAATGTCGCCTTCTACGCGTTGACTGTGCTACATGGGCTGCCGAAATTGCTCGATGTAGGTGTACTGCTATGGTTCTTCTTAGCATTTAACCCATCCTGATATTTACACCTATAAAATAAAATTATTACAGTCACCGAAGTTCTGGTACTACGCGATCGGTCCGGTGATAATTTTCATAATCGATCGAATCATGGGAATGCGTCAAGAGTACAAGAAACTCAAAATCCTCAACGCTGAACTATTGCCATCAGGTACCTGAAAAGAAAAACATTTCGAAAATAAACGGAAAAATAGAAAGAAATATAGATGAAGGAAGAAATGAAAAATTATGGAAAAAATGAACATGACCTCTTCCTCTCAACTGTCAAAATTACTCTAGGCTCTGAATTCTCCAACGGTCTCTCTCATATCTTTTCAAATCTCTGACTTTATCATTTTGAGCTTCAATTATGTTCAAAGCAGACTGTGCAAGCTGCAGTTTTGACTTTGTACTTGTTCAGATTCCGCATGGGTGTACGAGTAACGTTTTCTATTTATTTTTATGTATTTCGGGAAATTTCATTAAATTTCCAATAATCCAATTTTCAATGACCCTTTTTAGATATCATCTATCTACAGTTCAAACGACCGCTGTCGTTCTCGTTCCGTTCTGGTCAATGGGTTCGCATTTCGTCGCCGGCTTTCTCCTGTGCATTCAATGAGTGTCACGCCTTTTCCCTCGCTTCTGCACCTCAGTCTCCTACACTTGAGCTATACATCAAGGTCGGTTTTGACATCTATATTTATTAGCTTGTAAACTTAAATTTTTTAAATATCCCAATAATTTTTGAAGTTTCAATAAAAGATCGTTTGACAGTTTGTTGTTTGTATTTGTTCATTCAGTGGCTCTCAAATTTAGGCTGTGGGCCCGTGGACATGGAAGATGAGATCGGAAATTATTCGAGCACAAGCTAGCGGTTCGCCTTATCCACTTGTGCATATGAATGGTCCTTACGGCGACGGAATAACAGGTACTCCTTTGACAAAATTTTGGCAAACTCTAGTGACATCCATTACATCATCCACTGTAGCAGCTAAACCAAAGCGAGGGGCGGGACGGGCTGGAGCCGCTTAGGCAGGGGTCAGGATGTTCGGCAAGCCCTTTGCGACCAGTGCACAGTTGGTTACCAGTGAGGAGGTATACGCTAGCGATCCAGTGATGCGAATGCGATCAACCGCGCGATTCGCAGCGACTGGTCGCATAGTCTGGCACCGGCCTTTGCACGCCGTTTAAGCAGTGTCAGCGATATAAATTATTAATATTCTAATTGCAGCAGGCAGGTCCATTCCCGATTAAAACAGCGACTTATAAGAGTAAGGGGTTAATATGGCGTTTTGACGTATACTTGATGTATTGGAATGAAGTTTAGAAAATTTCATTGCAAAGGCTTTTCAGGAATGGGACAAACTATGAGTCGCCATTTCTAAGCGAGAAGTGCATTGGCGTACACACATATGCGGTCTACATTGACTGACCGTCGGCTGCGAAACACTTCTCGGAACCGACATCATAAAGGAAGCCAAGAGGTTAAGACATCCTCTTTTGGAGCAGTCTCATTCGGAAAGAAAACTCAGCCCAAATCTTTGAGATCTTTGGTCTAGAAGCGATTCTATTAAGCTTTTGCCACGTTGATCTCTTAAATCATCTTAGTAGCGTTTATTGTGGAAATTGTATCTGGCACAGAAAGGTAATTTATTTATGACAAAGAGGCTAAAGGGATTTGTGCCACCGTTCGTATTGGAGGACAAGGCCAGGATTTCTGTCAGAACTGGGCTTTTCCGAGAAAGTGAGGTTGCGCAAGTGGCAAGCAACGCACACAAGTTCGGGATGGTTGACATGCCGAGCGCTTAAGGGCCTATGGATGCGCATGGTTCCCTAACACATGAACCGCCTACAATCAGGGTTATTTCTATGCACGAAGAGGAGGGTTTTTGCGGCTATACGAAGTTATTACGTTCCCGTTTTTCCATTGCTGGCATTACACTTCATATCTCCGCTGTGATAGTCGATCCCGGACTTTGCTTTTAAGCTTTGGGTGTTAGCGTTTGGCCAACCGCGTCATTTTATACAGCAGAATGCGCCACGCACTCGTGTTCACAAAATGCCGCGCAACTTGTTCAAGGCTATTTGGCGCGGCGGCTACAGAAACAAACGCTGCGCGAGGCAGAACTTCCCCGATCCCTCCTACATTGCCCTCCCATGGCGATTCCTATGACCACGTGATTTCGAGCTTTTCTTTTCGAATCACCCAGGCAACTACGCGATGGCTCATAAACTTTCCCCACTATTTTAGGTGTACTTCCTCTGGATCTGTCCTACACACAAAAACTACGAATGGTTCGTGGACGTGTTGAAAGACGTTGAGGAAGCTGGATCAAAACAATCTGCTGGAGACGCACATCTTCGTCACGCAGTTCTTCCACAAATTCGATCTGAGAACCACCATGCTCGTGAGTTTTTCGAATTTTTCTAGAAGATTCACAAAGATTCCATTTCTGAAGCACAGATCACTATAAGGTACTTGGTCGCATGCAGGTAATTTCTTCCTAGTTTTTATAGGAACTAAAATGTCAGGCGTTGATCTTGATCAAATGTTGAAAATAGATGGAGGAATGTAATGACAATACTGCCACTCAGTTGGGGGGAGGAGGAGGCGGGATGGAGGGGGTAGTGGGGCAGTCATATCCCGAATGACGTATTGCACCCCAGCTGACTAACAATAGTTTGTTGTCAAGAGAACACAGAAAATGGGTGAAATATCCTTTGTCTGGGGAATTTATTGCTGCTCGTCCATCCTTTGGGAAATCTTGATTGAGAAAGGATTGCCGAAGAGCATATTTGCCTCTCGAATCAGATAAACGGTGTCTTTCAACTAGTGTGGGAGGATAAAAACAGCAACTTGTAGTCCGACTGCTCTCGCAATTATTGTGTGGGCCAAATCGTATTAACATTTCACCACCATTCTGATCGGAAGTAGAATGCATGGCGCATCCCGGAAAGGAGTTGATTGACGCCAAACGCCTTATCCTTATACCCAATGAAAACTACCTTTGCTGTGATCCTGTGTTGATTTGAAGGGTCTAAAGTAAGATTTTCAGTACATCTGCGAGAAGCACTTCCGTGGTGATCATCAGGGCAAGTCGATGTTCACCGGCCTTCGAGCACACAATCATTTCGGTCGTCCAAACTTCGACGCCTTCTTCTCTCACATACAAAGTGTTCATAGTGATGTTAGTTCACTTACATCATACAAGGTTGGTCTATAATTTCTGCAACAAATTACAAATTACAAATACAATTTTTTGCTGGAAAATTCTTTCAAGAAATCCGAAAATTTCGCAACAGTAGCATGCACGTCCACTTTTTCAAGAACCTAGTCACCTTATCTGCTCTCTCCCTTCTCTAGCAGAGGCTCTCTTTTTTAGAACCTTTTTTTGAGGCATTTTTCATAACTACCAATAAGGGGCTTTAGGCTAGGTACATGATGGATCAAACAGAAGATGACTGAGGGCATGCTCCTCATTCAACGATCACGAGAAGTTCACTACATTAAAGGCATAGGACGGGCGTTTTGGAGTATATGGTGATTTAAACT